ATTATTTGTACATTTTATTATTTACACCTACCCTAATAAGATTGGATCTCTTTCATGAAGTATAACAAAATTTTTGTGTAGTTTTACACATAAAGGTCACTGATTTAAAAAAAAAAAAAAAAACCTACTCTGTAATCATGAATGCTGCGGAAACCCCTGATTACCTCCGCCAAGGAGGTTATGTTTTCAGTAGCGTTGGTTTGTTTATTTGTCTGTTAGCAACTTTAAAGAGAAAGTAACAGATGGATTGACCTGAAATTTTCACAGGAGGTGCGTCTCAACCCCAGGAGGATCCCATTAAATTTTGGTGGTGATCAGGACAAAATTCTGGATACTGTGATCCAGAACACACCAAAATAACGGTGTTGTTGGAATTTTCAACGCTGAAAGATAACTAATGGGCGGCACAGTAGTATAGAAAGGTGGCACAGTGGTATAGTGGTTAGCACTGTCACCTCACAACCAGAAGGTACTGGGTTCAAATCCCACTCGGTGTACTTCTTGTTTAAGGGGGGACATGAGCTGCTTGGCGGAGGTCTCCAAGTGCTTTTCTAGTTTGATTGTAGAATCATATCAAAGTTTATAATAAGCCTACTTTATGAATGCCAATCCATCATAAATCACTCTCAATAGCCACCAATTAGCATAAATCTGCTCATGAATAGACAATGAACACCATACCATACCAAGAGGTGTGGACATGTGCTGTGAAAAGGAAGAGAGAGGAGGAGAAAGAAAACTTTCAGATGCGAAAAAGGTAGTTATGAGGGGTCTGTAAACATACAAGGATGTAAACGGGTTATAGTCTTACAGATAAACCAGCCCTCTCTCACTGCTCCATGCTCCAAACAAGTGTCATCTGTCATCCCTTTCGTGTGCCTCACCAGTCCACAGAGCCACAGCACTGAGTAATCAATATTTTGATTGTTATTGAAATCTTATAGACTAACCCATTTTGTATTTTCAGCCGTATCTGAAGCCTAAGTCTGCTTATTACCAAAAAATTTTGCTAAATGTGTAATATATAGATTTTTAAATCACAATTTAATTATGTGTATCAATTGTATCTGCCAGTTGTGAACATAACAGATCACAATTTGAATTAAAACTGTGATTTCTGTTTTGACAATATTTCTGTATATTGTTCACTCAATCAAACTCTATTAGTGGCCCGGAGAAGGTGTAGACCTGTTGAGAAACTACAAACATATCAGGATTTCTTAAACATTGATGAACGCTGGTTTAAATTTCATTTTGCTCACAGTTGACACAAATTTGTTCTGCTCATGGCCCATGAATGAGACCCATTATCTATTTTGCTTTTATAACTTAGGGTCATGCTGTCTAATGGAGGTATAACTGCAGTATCTAAAAATATCTGTATCAAATAATTTTTTACAAAATCATCTCTTAAGGACTGGAAAAGATGTTTGTCCTAAGACACAGTTAAAAGCACCACCAACAGAAATTGCATTGCATCTAAATACAAAAACAATAAGTGTTTCATTAATAGCCTTTTATTACACCTTGCAAATGGTTGATTTTTACATCATTCCACCTTCAAATAGATACATCAATAATGGAATGGCCAATCAGTTCTTGAGGGGCCATACCATTGGTTGCCAACAGGGTAGGGGTGCCAGTGTTTTATTTCACCAGGGCACTGAAATGGGCAGATCAGGTACTATCCAGAAAATCCTAAATATTTATTTGGATTGTGTTGTAACAGGCTGTTGGATTACAGTATGACACATTTTCGGTAGTTATGGTGTATTGGTGTTTTAAAATAGCATTTAACTCCCCAACCGCCTTGCATCATACAGTACTTTTGTGTTTCAAATAAAAACAGCCCTGCATTAATCGACTTATTCAATTCCCCTCATGATATGGAATGTCACAGACCTAACTCATACTTCACAAACTTATTCTACAAAAAGAAAGCAGGGAAAAGAACTCCAAACTGGAGAAGTGTGTATTCATAAAATGTGATCATAAAAACAAATGTCTTGTGCAAATGCATCCATTGTTAAGATGTGCCGTTTGGTATTCTGTGTCAGTCATTCAGGACATTTAATAATTAATGTTTTGATTAGATGCTTTTATTATACCGTAACAGCTACAAAAAAAACTTTTTCGAATAAAATATGTGAAATGAACAAAACATCTCAACCGAGTTGGTCCCATAAAAATACAGGATTAGGTTGTTAATATATGCAGCTTTCATTTTTACCTTTGCAGTCAGACTTTGAGTGTTATACTGTACACAACATAAACATAGTTGCTTTAAAATGTTCTGGGTTCAATAATTTGTGCTTAGTATTTTTTAATTCATGCAGTCATCTCTATCATTGATTGTTTACATGTACTTTTGTCCTGGACATGTAATCTAACAGCCATTTGCGTGCTGGGGTGATAATACCTGGCCCACTTCAGGTTAGTCATGGGCATAGACTGTATATAGAATGGACAGCGTCTGCCTCCTTGCTGGTAGAAGCCACTCTGAGAACAGCACCCTCTGTTGATGGGCTGCAGTATACATCATAAATCCCACCTCCGCCAGCAAAGCTTTTGGGACTGTGGACAAACTTGAGAAATGTATTACACAGAACATAGTTTTTCTCCCCCCTGCTTGCAGTGTTGACATGTAGTTACTGTCAGACTGGTTTGTGCTCAAGTCCTCTTATTTCTGTGAAGCTCGGTTTTTAAAAGTTATTAGGGGGTTCATGTTTTCTATGACTGACACTTGATACAGCCTATTGGCGTTCAGGGATTGCGTAACTCACCCGGGGGATACGCTGTTTGAGCCGAGCACCATCATAGCAACTCTCGGCGACTGTCTCGCCAAATGCACACAGCACTACTGCGCAGCGCTGGTTTCAGGAAATGAAGAAAAATCCCAGAAATACAGAGAGCTTTTTGGCTTCAAATCCATATACAGGCAGGAGGCTGAATTAAGTTGTCCATAGTATATACAGTCTATGGTTATGGTTGTATAGATATTGTGATTGTAATGCTTTGGCATTTGGCACCTATTCACATGCACGCTTCCTCTTTTGCCCTCTTATGTTAATCATATCTTTAATGTACCAGAGCTGTGTTTTGAGTGTGGCCTGTACTAAAATCCAAAAGATGAAAGCAGAGTATGAAAATATTTTCCCTGTTACCACTATAGAACTCTACTGAGAATGTGGCTGTTTGTTTCTGACATTATCCTAACAATCTCTCTCTCTGTAGCTACAGGTGGTTAATACAAAACAAAAAATAAAACTCATTGTAAAAAATTAGGATTAAGAAATCCTTTTCAACAATTTATATATCATAGCAGTGTTATTAGATTTTTTTTCATGTTATTCTATTGTTTTTAAATCATATTGTTGAAATTTATTATGATCCATTTTTTAAGCCATTCCTTCCTCAACCACTTCAACTGCCTCCCTCCTAGAACACCAGTCCTTGTCTGTCACTGAAACAGGGGTGAGGATGGAGCTTGGAAGACTTTGTCCTGGGAAGGCAGCTGGTCCAGATGGTGTGTGTGTTCAAGGCTGCTTAGAGACTGTGCTGCAGAACTGTGTCAACCTCTCCGCAAGATCTTCAACCTGAGTCTACAGCTGGGGCGGGTACCTGCTCTGTGGAAAACATCCTGCATTGTGCCAGTACCAACCACCAAAAACAAAATGTCCTGCTGAACTCAATGACTACAGACCAGTGGCCCTCACTTCACACATCATGAAAACCCTGGGGCGGCTGATTCTACACCTTCTGAGGTCTGAGGTCAAAGACAAACTGGATTCCCTGCAGTTTGCATACAAAGAACACCTTGGAGTGGATGATGCTGTCCTCTACATGCTTCACCGTGCCCTGTCTCATCTGGAGGAACCTGGGGTTTATGTGAGGATCATGTTCTTCGACTTTTCAAGTGCATTCAACACCATCCAACCCACCATACTCAAAGACAAGCTTACAGAGATGGGAGTGGATCCTTCCTGTGTTTCCTGGATCACAGATTACCTGACAGGAAGGCCATAGTTTGTCAGGCTGGGGAACTGTGTTTCTGGGACATTAATGAGCAGTACAGGGGCTCCACAAGGGACAGTGCTGGCGCCATTCCTGTTCACACTGTACATGTCAGACTTCAAATACAGTAATGAGTCCTGCCACATCCAGAAATACTCAGATGACACCGCTATTGTGGCATGTATCAGAAATGGACAAGAAGCTGAATACAGAGATCTAATAAGAGCCTTCAGTGACTGGAGTCACAAAAACTGCCTCCTCCTCAACACCTCAAACACAAAGGAGATGGTCATAGACTTCCGTAGATCCAAACCCCCTCTTCAGCCAGTTAACACCTGTGGAGTGGACATCGAAGTGGTGACATCATGTAAATACCTAGGTGTACATCTGGATAATAAGTTGGATTGGTCTAAGAATATAGACTTTATCTACAGAAAGGGGCAGAGATGCCTTTTTTGCCTAAGAAGACTCTGATCAATAGACATCTGTAGTAAGACGCTGCAGATGTTTTATCAGTCTGTGGCGGCAAGTGTGCTGTTCTACACTGCAGTCTGCTGGGGGGAAGCATCAAACACAAAGATGCAAGACGTCTTAACAAACTGGTGAAAAAGGCTGGCTCTGTGGTAGGACTCAAGCTGGACTCAGTGGAGGATGTGGTGGAGAGATCTACACTGAGGAAGGTGGAGACTATTCTCAAGAACATGGATCACCCACTTCACAACACCTTGATGGACCAAAGGGCAAATGGTGGTGGACGGCTCCTCTCTCTTCGCTGCAGGACAGAAAGATTTAGAAGATCTTTTGTACCAACAGCCATCAGGCTTTATAACTCTTGTGTAAATAATAGTTAACTTTTATAGACATATTACTTGAGACAACAGACAATTGAATTTCCCTTTGGGGATCAATAAAGTTCTTCTTCTTCTTCTTATTCGTAATTTTATGGATTAACTACACTCCCCTCTCCCTTATTGCCCACCTATTTCTCACACCCAGACCTTTCCTTTCCCACCGTCATCAGCTCTACCTTGGCTACCACAGCAACCAGTACCCAGACCATGGTGGTGGGTTGCTGGCATGTTCTTGTACACAGCCCTGCTGTATGGGATGAAGCACAGGCCTAGCTGAAGATGTCGAGCCAGGCGGCAGTATGCAGCCAGTGCCAGCACAAGAAGAGGGGTGACCAAGAGGAAGCCCACAACCAGCAGGGCTACACAACCTCCATCAGTCAGTAGATCTGAGCAGTAGGGGGTGGTCCCATGGGGGCGGACCTTGGGAGAAAGGTGAAGAGAAGATAGCATTTGAAATGATGTGGAATGTTTTTTTTTTTCCTAAGGGCTGAGATTTGTGCCACCAGAAACTGAATGGGGAGGAAAGAGAGAAGTGTAAGAGGGGTTGAGATACAGCAGTCCTTACTTAAAAGTACAATATAAAATAGAGAGAACATTCTTAAATGCAAGATAAGTTGTAAACAGTAAGTTATGTTTGTAGGTTGCTCAGTGAACAGAAGAGTAATGTTCAAAAAGGGCAAAAGAGCTAAGTATTTTTTATATTAAAGAGTCTTTCTTTTCTGCCATTAAGCCCAAGTTTGTTCCAAAAATATTTTAATAGCTTTTCTAGTTGTGCACTATGTGATGCTATATTACATCCCAGAAATACTGAGCTATGTTGTCTAGAATAGGTAAATTCCTGTTTTCAGTGAAGACCACAGTACACAGTGGTTATATACGTATGAATAGAAATCTCAAGCTTCTCTGTGTAGGAAGGGTTTTTCGTAGAAAGCAGAAAGTTGTGAGACATGCTTCAAACTGCATCACACAGTCAAAAGAAAGTTAAGAAGGTTGCTGTATGATTGTTTTTTTTATTTATTAATTTATTTATTTTTTATTATTGCTTCATATCTCTGCCTGGTGTTGTGGAGGGGGGCTTTAAATATTATTTGTTTCTGTTATTGTCATTTATTTCTTTAGGTGTTTTTCTTGATACAAAACCCAATTCCAATGAAGTTGGGAAGATGTGTAAATCGTAAATAAAAATGGAATACAATGATTTGCAAATCCTTATCAACCCATATGCAATACTACAAAGACAACATATCCAATAAATTCATATTCAACTGATAAACTTTGTTTTTTTTTTTAAATAATCATTAACTTTACAATTTGATGGCTGCAACATGTGACAAAGAAGTTGGGAAAGGTGGCAAAAAATATTGAGAAATTTGAGGAATGCTCATCAAACACCTATTTGGAACATCCCACAGGTGAGCAGGCTAATTAGGAACAGGTGGGTGCCATGATTGGGTATTGAACCAGCTTCCCCAAAAATTCTCAGTCATTCACAAGCAAGGCTGGAGAGAGGTTAACCACTTTGTGAACAACTGCATGAGCAAATAGTCAAACAGTTTAAAAACAAAGTTTCTCAAAGTACAACTGCAAAGGAATTTAGGAATTTCAACATCTACGGTCCATAATATCACAAAAGGTTCAGAGAATCTGGAGAAATCACTGCATATAAGCGGCAACCAACATTGAATGCCTGTGACCTTTGATCCCTCAGGCGGCACTGTATCAAAAACCGACATCAATGTGTGAAGGATATCACCACATGGGCTCAGGAACACTTCAGAAAACCACTGTCAGTAAATACAGTTCGTCGCTACATCTGTAAGTGCAAGTTAAAACTCTACTATGCAAAGCGAAAGCCATTTATCAACAACATCCAGAAACGCCACCGGCTTCTCTGGGCCAGAGCTCATCTAAGATGGACTGATGCAAAGTGGAAAAGTGTTCTGTGGTCTGACGAGTCCACATTTCAAATTGTTTTTGGAAATAGTGGACGTTGCGTCCTCCGGACCAAAGAGGAAAAGAACCATCCGGACTGTTATCGATGCAAAGTTCAAAAGCCAGCATCTGTGATGGTATGGAGGTGCATAAGTGGCCAACACATGGGTAACTTACATATCTGTGAAGGCAACATTAATGCTGAAAGGTACATACAGGTTTTGGAGCAACATATGCTGCCATCCATGCAATGTATTTTTCATGGACACCCCTGCTTATTTCAGCAAGACAATGCCAAGCCACATTCTGCACATGTTACAGCAGCGTGGCTTCGTAGTAAAAGAGTACGGGTATTAGACTGGTCTGCCTGCAGTCCAGACCTGCCTCCCATTGAAAATGTGTGGCGCATGAAGCATGAAATACGACAACGGAGACCCCGGACTGTTGAACAACTGAAGCTGATCATCAAGCAAGAATGGGAAAGAATTCCACCTTCAAGGCTTAAACAATCAGTCTCCTCAGTTCCCAAACATTTGAGTGTTGTTAAAAGGAAAGATGATGTAACACAGTGGTAAATATGCCGCTGTCCCAACTACTTTGGTACGTGTTGCAGCCATGAAATTCTGAGTTAATTATTATTTCCAAAAAAAATAATAAAGTTTATGAGTTTAAACATTAAATATCTTGTCTTTGTAGTGTAGTCAAATGAATATAGGTTGAAAAGGATTTGCAAATCATTGTATTCTGTTTTTATTTACATTTATCACAATTTCCCAACTTCAATGGAATTGGGTTGTGTATCTGTTGCTGGCTGGATATCCTCTAACATATTCAAGTATTACTGGCTTGAATATGTAAGAAGAATCTTAAATACTTAACCTGTCAGTTTTTTTTTCTCGCCCTTTTTTTCCCTTTTGATATTTTCCAAATCTTGTAACCCTCCAGGTCCTTGTTAATCCCTATCTAAGCTGCTGTCACATGAGGTCCGATTGTGAAAGCATAGGAGAACAGAGAGAATCCCGGTTACTCCTGTCTTTTAGGGGGTGTTTGGCCTGCATAAATGCCACCAGTGTACAAAAAAACCATCTGAGCCATTGTTACTTTGGTGGCCTACTATACAGCTTAGTAACAAACGAATTTTATTATTTTATATTCTCTAATGTACTCATCCCGCTGTGTATAACAACAGCTTTGTCTGTTTTCAAGCATCTTTTTCTTCAAGCTACAAAGCAATCCTTAACATCTACGCTCTAATGTCTGGCTTTCAGGACTCTTCCCTCCTTGAGTTACTTATCTTCTCAACAGGGAACCTCAAACTTATCTGATTAGGTAACCTCTCATCACTGACATAGCAAAGCCCTTCTCTAGGCCCCAGGCAAACTTGATTTAAACTTTGATCAAAGCTGTTAGATTAGGACTTCTAGATGTTTCATAAAAAGATGTGAGAAGCCCTTCATCTGCCTGTTCCACTCATCTTTTCTTTACACTTTGCAAATGTCCATTGCTTTTGCTACATATCAGTCTTAAATCTGTCAAGTCACTTACTTTTACTGTGCAGCACAGTAAAGTGGTTTGTCTTTTTTGTCATTTTTTGTAAAAATAATGGTTTTCCACTGGTTTTCAAGCAAATGCTTGGAAAATGCAAACAAGTGATTTTTTTTCTCATAGCTGACTCAGGTATTAAGCATTTATTATGGATGCCATAATAGGAGGTTTTCAGTCACGTGATCCTGACTTTGCGCAAGGACCAAATGGAGAGCAGCAAGTGACCAACTGCAATGGAGGAGATGCGCCGGTTTAGATGCATGCTGGTATTTAGCCTTAGATGGAGATTACCACCCGCTTTGGGCTGCATTCCCGAACAACCCGACTCCAAGAAGACCGTACCCCGGCGCGACGGGGGGTGCTACCGGCCTCACACCGTCCACGGTATTCGGCGCTGGGCTCTTCCCTCTTCGCTTGGCGCTACTGAGGGAATCCTGGTTAGTTTCTTTTCCTCCGCTTAGTAATATGCTTAAATTCAGCGGGTCGTCTGATCTGATCTGAGGTCGTAGTCGGAAGATGGGGGTTGGGCAGGGAGCGGGGATAGGGGCCGAAAGGACCCCCTTTTTCCCCGTCCGCCCCCTCCGGAGCTCTGGGGCACTCCCGGCGCGTCCGGCCGCTCAGCATCCCCCTCCCTACACCATTTGACACGACTCAATTTCAAAATTAAAGAATTTAACTACGGGCTAAAAATGAGTCATTACCTTTGACAAAGGTCACTGCACACACGGGCATTATCCGACGCAGCTCCTCCAGACCATAGGCCAGTGGTTCTCAAATCCAGTCCTCGAGCCCCCCGTCCTGCATGTTTTGGATGTTTCCCTGCTCCAGCACACCTGATTCAAATGATCAGCTCGTTATCAAGCTCTGAAATGGCCTGTTCAATCGATTCGAGCAGCCATAAACGGAGCAAAACATCAGCATGTTGCTGGTCTCTACAGCAGCAACTCACTTCCTGCCCTCCATCTGTATTGCGCGCGTGCCACGTAACACGGAAATAACGTCAAGTGGAAACCTCCTATAGCAGCTTTGTATGATGAAAGATTATTTCTGTCTGAGTTTGAACAACATTTTTGTAAATGCAACAACAAAATCAGTGAAAGCCTGGAGCTGGAATGGAAAGTGTCATAAGTGAAGACATGTTTTGCTTACAAATGAGAAATCCTACAGTGTGACTGCTAGGTGTCACCAAAATCAAAACCTGATTCCTGTGATATGCACACACTGTGTGCACTAACTCCTTTGCCTGTTTGCCCTTTACTTACTGTTGAGTGACAGAGGAAGCCAAATGCCACCATGACAATTGCAGGTGTAAGGATAGTCCCAAACACCAGTCCGGCTAGGCAGGTGTTGATTACACCAATAACCAAGTTCTGGGCTGTCACCAGCACAGAGCAGGCCCAGCAATCCAGGGAGCCCCGCAGCTCTAAGGGTGCTTCACTCCCGGCACCCCCACTCTCATCTGCAGAATAAGGAGGAGGTATGACCAAACGTAAAGGACTTTTGGAACAAGTCCCCACAGCCATGATAGAGGCAAGGGAGTTTGAGTGATGGAGATGCTGATGGGGGTTGGTATGGTGATGGTGATGATGAGTAGGCAGTTCTTCAGACAGGTCCAAGGCCTGGTGATGGGCCCCCTTATCTAGAGTGCCACCCATACTCATGGTGAACTGTTGACAGAAGAAAGTGTATAATATATTTCTTGTGCCATAACAAGAGTTTTGTGATTGTTTGTTGGCTCTAAATATGTTTTCTGGGCCCCCTTTTCAAGACTAAGAAATTGAATACACTTACTTAAAGAAGATGAAGAAGAAGAAGAAGAACTTTATTGATCCCCGAAGGGTGCCATGATTACACATTAACCTAACTCAAATCCACTGTACAAAGCTTAGGTGGTTCTGTAAGGTGATGATTATCAGCTGATTGGTCAAATGGAAAAGGTTCCATAAACGCTATCAGTTTGTGTAGTATTGACATGAAGGTCAACTGTATCTAAGGTGAGAAGCTGAGCTTGTGTGTGCATTGTGTCATCATGCCTGTAGAAATGGTTCAAAAAAATCATATGCAGCAACTGTTAGCATGTACAGAAATTGCTTCAGCTCAGGGCAATCAACAAATGTAAAATAAATGAAAATGCTTTTTAATTAAATTTACTGTACTAAACTTTTCTTGGTCAAAATTGTATGCAATGAATGCAAGTGAACATTACTCAAAATTACTGAAGAAGTCATTCTTTTAATAGGAAAAAGATTATCAAACTGTTTTTCCTTCACATTTTTGATTAGATTGCTTTTAATTATTCTCAATAAGCTGTTAGTGAACACAAAATGTAAATGGAGGAAATTATTGCGAATCTCTGTCAGTTGTATGTGCTTTTTAATTATGATGTACACTAGATGAATTCATTTATTCAGATTTGTATCTGTTAGAACAGTTTGGACTTTAAAGCAGTGGACAAACATGTTACAGTACTGTTGGACATTCAAAATTACAGAAAGAAAAACAAAACAAGAATTTGTCCACTCACTACAAAGGTCCCACTTGACAGAGAAAATAATTGATCTTTTGTCTCTTTTAACAAATAAAACCAATGTGATCTTCCTAGGACAACATATGGTCAATCATTACACTCAAGTATTCATAAGAAAATATTTGCTGGATGTTTTTCATTGTGTACGGCAATAGGAGCTGTATGAAAGTCAGATGGTACACCAAATACAATTTCCATTGTTTTCTTTGTGTAAATCACCAAAGCATTACCATGATTCCACTTGACCACTGAGTTGACGACATGCTGATGTAGTCACAGGTCTGTGTTATCAAAGCTATATCATCAGAATGCTTCAGGATATACTGATTTGGTGAAACAAAATGACAGTCATCCATATAAAGCATGAAAAGCACAGCAGAACTCACACAACCCTGGGAAGCCCCAGAGTTAGTTGTGATAACAGATGAGAGAGTGTCATTCATCTTAACAAGCTGGACTCTTGACTGATCCCCGAGGGGAAATTCAATACTTCCTCTTTTTTTTTAATTTTTTTGTCAACTATCAACATAAGAAAAGCTGACTTTTTAGTGCCCAACTGATTAAACAGACTGAATCCAGCTTTAGTCCAGTTCTTCTTCTTCTTCTTCTTCTTCTTCAAAGTAACGTAGAATCTAAAAAATTGTTCAGTCCATAACCTGTTTTGTTGCTGCCAAGAAACTAGGTGTTGCAACACAATTTCACACATGTACAACTCAAGATTTTTTCTGAGCAGAAATCTCACCTTACATTTTTTTGGGCATCTTTGAGGAACTGTTAATCATAAATGAAACTGAATCAGCGTGAAGAATAGAGTCAGTCAATAAAGTTGTTATTTGAAGGCTTGTTTCTCATGACTTTTTTTATGGTCATAGTCATTTTTTTCTCACTTGCTTTATTTAAGATTCAAGGGCATGCAAGAAGAGCTGGCATGTTGTGTGGATAAACATAGCCATTGGTGTGACTCATTGTAACCCAGAGTGCAAATTAGAGCTGTGAATTTGATTTGTCCCACTTTTCTTTTTCACTATGCTTTAGTAGTGAATTTAAACAACACGCCAAGCAAAAGTTTGACTCATTTGTTGGGTTCTCTTAACAGTTTTCAACAAATTTCAACAATGTGATTAGCCTTGTGTCTGCTACCATGAGATTTTCTTCTGTTCAATCTTCCCATTATCATAGTGTCTGAAACAAAGCTTCTGCATTAACATGAGTAGCAATCCTTCTATATAATAAGATCTAAGAGCCTTGCTGCATAAGTTTTACTGAGCCATAAGATCTTTTAGCAACTCATCTCTGTTGAACTTTTAAAAAAGACATTTCAGCAATTAATCATAAAAAAGTAATGAACATGTGACTGATGCAGCAGCACTTGTACTTACATTGCAATGAGACACTGGGTGGACCGCTTGCTGTTTGTTCTCCAGATTGTTTCAACTGTGTTCACTTCTTTTTGAGACTTCTTCTTGAAATGTCCAATCAGTCCTCCACTTAGACTTCAACAAAGTGCTATCCTCCCTGGAAACAGGGATACTTTAGACCTCCTGTCCTTGTATAAAAAATCAAAGAGGTTTTGGTAGGTCTCTGTGAGGTACCTATCTATTTTGTAGCAGTGTGCTAGTATGTTGGCTTCTTGGAGCGTTGGTCTCCTGCTGCTTCTTCTCTGTACTATCCAACCAATAGAGTTGACTGTGATCCAGTTTCTCTGACGGACATGCAAAATCAAAGTCTTATGCTGTACTGATGGAGTAGTAACAGATTCCACTCACAGTAAAGTATGTCAAACTCTTGCTTATCCTTTTGCCCCTCCTTTTTCGACCACCATCTCCTCCTTCGCGGTGCTGTCTTTTGTCCTAGCCTCCCTCCCTACAGCTTTCTCCCTCTTTTTCCCCACCCACTGAGTTTGCCCAGTCCATGTTTGAGAGGGGGTGGGGTGCTGCATGCCATAGGTTAGAGTAGGCTTGCTTGCTTGCTAAGTTCAGGAGAGTAGAAAATCAGGGGTTAGGGTAGCGGGGACAGACTTTGGAGTCTGGGAGAGGGGGGAACAATACTAGTGACATATAATCATAACAATAATAATAATAATAATAATAATAATAATGCATCAGATTTTATAGTGCTTGGAGCTACCTCACTCAACTTAGCGCGGTAGCCAGCTTTGCTATGAGCACGTGCAAGCATGTTAGGCAGAGCCCGCCGCATCTGACCAATCGCGAACATGGACCAGTCTGGAGCGTCAGAGCAGGCCGGAGAGCGAAGGACCGCGGACTTAACAAACGAGGAGCAGGAGACGATCATGGGAAAATATGAAGAATTCAAAGCTATCATAAACCTCAAAAGCAACACCGTCACCGCTGCAAAAGCACAGAGGGAATGCTGGCAGAAAATTAATCTTTGATGCCATGATCACCCTGAAATAGCACTGTTCAACATGCGCTTTTTACTAAGGTGACCAGACGTCCCCGATTTCCGGGGACAGTCCCCGAATTAGATGATCTGTCCACAGCTAAAGCTGTCCCCTAAAATATCTCCGATCTAAGTGTTTCATGAATGAGAACAAAAATGTTGCATGTTGGCTAGAACAACAGTTATTACAGTGGGTAGGAAGCACAAGTAAACAGTCCTGAACAACAGTATTTACGGGGGTTATTACAAGGGGCGTGCGCTGCTACTAAATAGTACCGAGATGTTGTCTGTGATCACACAGCCCCTGCAGCCCATGCCCATTCATTTCCAAGATGAATTCATTCATTTGTTCATTCCTATCGCGTTAACATTTTTTGTGTGATATGTATATGAGCCTCTCATAAAAGTGGTCATCCGGAAAAGTAAGTGGGTCCGTGCGGTCCCTGAAAACTCTCGCGCGCTGGAGTGCTTCTCTGACAATGCGAGCACTGAAGTCTATAGGAAGCCGTTTTTCGAGAGAGCTCATTGGTCAGTGGGCGAGGTTTTTATACTCGGTGAGTTCAATCTGGAACCAAACCTGCCCCGGAGCAGGTTAGCCGTTCAGCGTATGTTGCCATGGAGACTCGCCTCGCTAAGAAGTGAACCCGCGTCGTAGAACAGGAAACCCCGAACTTACCCTCGAAGTTACTTCGCTAAGCAGTAATCCTGCTTCGTAGAACAGGCCCCTGGTGGTGGTAAACAACCTTAGGAGTCACAGCTGCACTGGGGCAGACTGATGGAGATGTGGCTGCTAGTATATAACTTTTGATCACACTGCAAAATCATTCTTTGTAATACCAATTTTGAAAAAACTCTGTTTATCTGTATTGTTCAGTGTAATTGCTTGGTGTTTATTAACTTTTACTTTTTGCACACAGATGGATCAGCCCAAAATATTTATTTACCCATTTAATACTTTTTTCTGTCAGAAAATAAAAAAGGTAGGAGATAACTTTCAGGGCAGCACAGTGGTGTAGTGGTTAGCACTGTCGCTTCACAGCAAGAAGGTCCTGGGCTCGAATCCGACTCAGGGCGTTTCTGTGTGGAGTTTGCATGTTCTCCCTGTGTCTGTGTGGGTTTACTCCGGGTACTCTGGTTTCCTCCCACATCATTAAGGGCTAGCCCTTCACACTAGCTTGCAACCTAACATTGCCTGTGCAGCAGAAGTGGCAGATAATATAGGAGCCATTCAGCTCTTGAACACTAACGTCTTTGGGGGCATGATGAAAGCAAATGCTATCATTAGCTTTCTTGCGAGCATTGCAATCCACGACTGCACACACTTGTTCCACCACTGCCCCTTCTGCTTCTTGGGGTCTGACCTGCAGAGTGGGGTGAACTGCAGAGCCTGGGATCTAACCCCAACCTTCTCCGATTGGGAGATGATCAACTGAACCACCTTAAATATTGAGATCGGGTAGCAGTGCCATTACAGTTCTGAATTAGGAGTGAATAAAGCGGGTAAAATAAGTATTGAACACGTCACCTTTTTTGTCATTAAATATATTTCTAAAGGTGCTATCGGCATGAAATTTTCACCAGATGTCGGTAACAACCCAAGTAATACATACATACAAAGAAACCAAACAAACGAGTTCAGAAATTAAGTTATTTGTAATAAAATGAAATGACACAGGGAAAATGTACTGAACACACTTACTGAAATTTATTTAATACTTTGTACAAAAGCCT